GCACTCTTACGGCAATATGGCACAGGGCCAATATTCGCTCTGTCCGACTTCGACCGTGCTTCCGGTAACTAGGAACCCCGGGTTCGTTCCTGCTAACTGTTGTAAACTACCCGAGCGAGTGTGTCAAGCGTTCTGATTGACCGGGATTCAACGGCGTTCGTCCCAATCACCGTAACGCGTTAAACGATCGTGCAAGATTGTATGATGACATGATGACGGTGCACTTTGTGGTTGTTGTTAATGCAATGACAAGCGAAGCGACGCGATTGAATCGCGATTTCGGAGAGCGAAATCTCGAAACCTATTGTCTTCTCTGCTAAGATTTTGGGATTACAGATTGTGTGTAAATATATTCAACCATTTTTAATGCTGCAAAGTAAATGTATCTTAATCATAATTATGACTTTTTTATTACCGCGAATAAACACAGAAATCATTTTCACGTGGCTGTAACATCAATAAAGCTTTACTTAAATAATTATGGTTTTGAAATAGCGCTATATAAAATAATTTACCGCTAATATATAAAATATTGCAAAAAAACATATTTTACATTATCAAATTTCTTCTAATAAACTTACAAAAATCATAATGCAGATGTAACAATCTCGATAATTTGCTACAAAGTGACATAGAGATTGATAGCAAATTACAGAAAATTCCGAAGTATATTGTTCCTAGCAACACTTGTTCGCCGTTTCTCTCGCACGGTCAGCTGATCTCGTCTAAATGAATACTTACGATCCACGAGAGGAAAACGAACGAATTGATCATAACTTCCGGATCGTGTGTATGTACTTCAAGGTTAGAGAAAATTACTCTAACCAGTCTCAGCAGCGTAGCTCGTAGCAATTTCCAAAATCATGAGTATCTCTAGCAGACAACTTTGCGCATATATTTACTGAAGCTGTCTGCCAAACTATGTACATACCATCCTTCAACCCCCCTGGCTTTGATATACGATTCATGACAATTCACGAATCGCAAGTTACATAGCCCATGGGCGATCTATCTTGTGTAGTAGTGTAATAGCATAGATAGCTTCTCACACGAGTTGTATCTCTGTCCGAATTTTTTCGTCTTTCTCTCTCTCTCTCTCTCTTTTGGAAAAAAGTCTTTTTAGTAAAGTCTCTATTCTTCAGTTGCTGCGACAAATTTATCGGCGCAACAAAAAAATTCTCCAATGAAAATATCACTTTTTTCATTGCTCTTCGAATATCGTTAGTACACCTTATATATGCCGCGAATTTTTTAAATCTCCTGAACGTAAGCTTACGAATTCTCACCGCTATCCATCATGAAAGTGTTGAATATATATTTCGCGGTATACTTCCGTAAATCAAAATTAAAATCCGGCAAAAGAGGAGAATTTTTCTTAAAGGAACGAAAAGATGTCTCACGTCTCTTGTAAGATGAATTTAATTTGCATGCCGTCGATCATTGTTCTGGAAGATGCGCGAAGATTTCGTTTTGTTGCGGGATGATGAGGAAAAAAACGGCTCTCGCCCCCTTTCGTTGAACGAGAACATGAATCCTGCGGGACATCCCTAGAGAAATTGTCGCAGCTTTATTCCCAAGCGCCTTATATCTTTCGACTATCATCCGATCGCAGCCTTCCAATTCTGTACGCAGACGAATCTCATTGTCTGCCATCTCGTCCTCGAAGTATTTCTGTTTCCAGTCCCCCTTCGCGATATAGTTGATGGCTGAGAGAGAAGAGCTCCTCTCTTAGAGTCCCGTCTACTACAACAATGAACGAGAACGAGACCTAAGGTAAATCTCAGTCGGAAGCACTTATAGAGCTTTCGAATATCTCGATGTTTCGGGATGTCACTTCTGAGTGTCGCGAACTGACACTAACGACTCTTCGTCAACGAAAGCCAACGAGAACTGACTTGCGATTGAAACGTGAGCATTTTCTATCTCGCGTGAGTTAAGAAAGCGAAAAAACTGAAAAAACTCCGAGAAAAGTCTAAGAAAAATTTTTTCTACAACGATAGATTTTCCTTGTTCTAGAAAATCCTCGACGAAAATGATCTCGCGATATCAAAACAGTCTGATGCACATGACGCCCGACAAAAATTAAATGTAAAAAAATCCAGCAACAAAGCTAGTATACCGGTTAACTGAAACATGTATTTAATTTAGAAATATGTCAGATAAGGTGTATCTATTCGTGAAGTGTATCTCGTCCTGTATAATAAACCTCCGACCACAACGTTAAAAAAAAACGCATGCATGCAATTTCACCAATCGAATCGCTTGTTAAATTTAAACAAGCTTCAGATTCAACGAGCGGGTGTGAAATAATCTGACACTATTTCTTTTCAACGCAACAACTATTAACAACATCGTGCAACTTAGTTGCGGGTACTTACTGGACTTTTCCAATTTTTTTCATCATATCTCTTTACAATATTTTTGTAAAAAACATAAATTTTTTTCACTGCAAAGTAAACTCATTGTAAACCAAACTAATGTTTCAAATACGATGCGCTGACATCTCATTTCGAAGGGATAGAATGTTAAAACGTAATGTTATATCTAAAATCATAATTTTATGATATTAAATCACGAAACACATTTATAATATTTAATCGGAATATATGGTAGCAATTTTTTTCGAAAAGAAAATTATATATTGCATGTTTTTTCTTCTTAAATTTGTTAATTTTGGAATTATGTTAAATATTAATTAAGTACAATTTGCACTCGCAGTTTACTTGTTTCAAATATTATTTTTATCTTTTTTAGCAGTCTTTAATTTGTCAAAATTCAAAAATCAGTATTTCCAATAAAACAAGAAGAACTCTTCAGAAAATTTTGCAACTCTTTCAGAAAATGTGCATATTTCTGAGATAGCTTGTATATGACAAATGCGCGCATAAACATTAAATATTAATTAAGTACAATTTGCACTCGCAGTTTATTTGTTTCAAATATTATTTTTATCTGCAGTCTTTAATTTGTCAAAATTCAAAAATCAGTATTTCCAATAAAACAAGAAGAACTCTTCAGAAAATTTTGCAACTCTTTCAGAAAATGTGCATATTTCTGAGATAGCTTGTATATGACAAATGCGCGCATAAACAAAAATGTTTTTCTTTTTTCTTACGATCGAGCACGTACCACCGAACACATGCAAAACGCGAGTTTCCTCAAAAAACCTGCCGCAAAATTGTAACGCTATTTCAACAAGCATCGTACGAACAAAATGAATAAGATCTCGTTACCATAGATACTGCTGCTCGCTCGCTGTTGTATTGATAGAACAAAAAATCGGCTACAGTACGGTATATTAAAAACATGCCCTTCGGCCACCGCGCTTCTGCCATTGGTCTGCGGAATATTCGGATTTTATCAACGCAACCTCGGTTGAACTCCATGTAGAGGGTAGCCTGCGGTGCAACAGATAATGAAACTATCCAATGAGGGAAATGACATGTTACGGCATACCATCGACGAGCGCAACGGCGATGGGAGTGCTGAAATTTACTGGGGAAAAAGAGCCTTTAATAAAGTACAACGTAGAATTAATTCATTGTTTGTGGCAGCGCGCAATGCTGCGTCATCGTCGAACACGTGAAAAGCATTATCGATGCAGAAATATTGAATATTTTTGATTGTATATTGAGTATTGCGTCGCCCGCACACGTCCTTCCTATTTTTCATGAACAAATCGCTTTTACTTTGACTGTGCGAAAAATTAATACGTCGTCGCGTAGAGAAATTTGCATATTAGAATAATCGCTCTCTCTCTCTCTCTCTCTCTCTCTCTCTCTCTCTTTTATTTGTTAATTATATACAATATACATCCATCGAATAAATATTAGTTAAAATTGTTATTTTAATCTGATATAATTTTGATGAATTTTTTTCCAATTTTTCATTAATATAAAGCGTATTTTAAGTCAATTATCGCGTTTTCATTCCGTCACGAGTAAATAAATATAAAAATCATTTTCATGATTTTAGCTTAAAAAGCTGAAATTTCAGCTTATTAAAATTATTGTTAGTTTCAATAAACTTCACAATCCAGTTCAATCCATCTCAATTGACTTCGATTAATATTTTTAAGAACGGCTTTGTGACATGAGATAAAGAATACGGTGATAGACGCAGATATTTCTGGCAATAATCGTCGCTAATGCGCAATGTGAGCAAAGATGGCCGAATGACATCCCGCGTTATCACGAAGCGTCCATCAATGTCATCGAGTTTGAATTCATCCGAGGACGTCGAAGACAGCAATTGAATACAGCCCGTCGTAAAAACACGTCGGCGTTCGGTGATACGACGCGGTCGATGGCCGGAAACGATAGGAGCGAAGGGAATTATTAAGGAAAACGTCACTACGTGAGGGCAGAGGGCACAGAGGGCGGAGGACCAACGTCGCGTCGCGGAGACGACTCTAAAGTGATTTCGTCAGGAGTGACATCGGCGGATGAGCGAGCGTTTTATCGCGAGGCTAACGAGGCGGTCCGCGCTGACTTTGCCGCGCTCGGTTTCACGTTGCACCACATAGATGATAAAGAGACAGGAATCGCGCGCGAAGAAAGAGAGGGATGAGAAAGTGGGAGAGAAAAACAGGTCGCCCTCGCGCATCCCCTCCCAAATAAATCCTCTTTTTACGACGGAGATTTATGAAAGCCATTCCGCCGCCTCCTGTCCCTTATCCTCGCCCTGCCTCGACCTACACACTCTCGGCCTATACTCCATCTTTCCCTCCTTCTCGGCGTATAAGAGAAGGAATTGCGACCTCCTCTCTCTCTCTCTCTCTCTCTCTCTCTCTCTCTCTCTCTCGCTCTCTCCCTCTGCGATGCCGGGGCGTGAGGATGAGTTTGGGCGCTGAAACCTAACGGTGGCTGAGTATCCTGGATTCCGAGCAGTTTCCGGCAAAATGAGGTAATTAGGATGCAGACGAGGAACGATGTCGTCCCCCCCCCCTCTTTCTCCCACTTTCTCTCGTCCTCTTCTTTTCGCTCGTGCACTCTCTTCGTATCCCGCTTGGATTTTCTTCTACCCTATCTCATCGGGGTTCTCTCGCACCCCTCCGCCAAAGCCTTGACATCATGTCGAGAACACCGGCTCGATGCTAAATCAAAAGCGCCGCGCTAAAAAGTCTTCCGCGTATACACTATATTTTCGCTTACCTAACGGGATCGAGACTAACTTCTTCGAAATTCTAACAACGGTGAAATACGAGAAAAAAGTCATAGATGATGTAATACGAATAACCCTGCTCATCGCCCCTCGCTGATAGTGAGAAAGTTCACTGAGAGATCTTTCATTTCAATAAAACAATAAAAGTAACATTCCACCGTTTTCCAGAGATGTCAAATAAGTAAAGATAAGAGACAGAGAGAAAGATAGAATAAAAATAAAATACAGACAAATTGTGAAATCGAAAGAGAAAGAGTCTAAGGAATATTTTGTCCCAAGACAGATGAAATAAAAGGAGACCAAAGATACAGATCTGCAATATTTGTGGCGGATTGCGGCAGAATGTGAACTTACGCTTTGATGACTTTTTCATGGGGCACGAGCAGAGAATTCCGCACGGCGATGTAAATTCGGAATTCTTTCCGGTACAAATGCACGTATAGATGAGCCTTCTGAACAGGATATCAACTGTATCGATCTCGACGATCCGCAACCGAGATTTCCACGATTTTCAAGATTGCAATGATTGCGCCAACATTTCGTACGTGGCCTCATTTTATCGCGGTGTATTGGTCAATGTTATGAAAAAACTCATGGAATGAGTTCCGAATGACGATAATATTTTAAGGGCTCTCTCAAAATAATGTTGCAAATTCCACACAATTTTCAAACACCATAAAAATTAATAAAAAATATAGTTATTTTTCTAATAAAGTTAGACTTTAGATATAATATTTTAGAAAAATTATATTTACAAAAATTTATTGCAAATTTTCACAAAAACTATTACCTCTCACGTGTTATTTTAAGCTTTAAATATATATATATATATTTGAATTCTTCTCAACTACTCCTGTTTTGTTCAATATGATTACTAAAGATTTTCTTTCCAAAAATATATTACACAGATCATTCATGTGAATCTATTAAGGTGTCTCAACTTCTTTTATATTTATAAATGTATTCACTAACTGTGTGCATATTGAAATTTTAATATAAAATTTCATAAAATTAATTATTTGTTAAATATCGTTGCTATCGTTGAAAAATTAGATTAATTAAACTTCCTTTAAAGTAAAAAATAAAAATTCCAAACAATGCTTAAATTTCATCGCAAGTAAATCTAGATTACGACAACGGAAATAATATAACGTCATAATTTTCAGGATGCCTTTAATTTCTCTTTGAGTACCCGAGAGACGTTCCAGTGTAAAACGTCATAACAACACAGGTAAAAATCTGTCTTTTAATCCATCAATTTAAAGTACGTACTTTCTTATTATTTTTTGCTTACTTAAAACAGTGGATTCCAAAATCATATGAAAATCCGGAGCAATCGCCGTTCGGAGAGAGCTTCCATTACATTACCGCTCGCATAAAAGATATTTTCCCGGATAACCCTTCGAGAAGTGGATAGCGGTAATGCAGTATTCGGCGCGAATACCGTTTGCCAAAACGTACGGGATGAGAGCAAAAGGGCGGAAAAATGTCGTCAAGTAAGAACGCAGGCTCTAATTCGCACACCTTCTAACCACTTCCTCTCCAACTAGACGATCGACGACACTCGTGGCGTTGAAGAGCGCCCGGAGCACCGGAAAGGGTACTTTCGTTTGGAATGCGGCCAGGGGTGGTTCCGTTCTTGCAAACCCGATGCAAATGCTGCACGCGAGAGGCTGCAGTCAATGCGGTCCGGGAAAATAACGGTGGACCGAACGTGGTAAATCGAAGGTGCGTGACAACATCCGTCAAGTGGAACCGCCGAACGGGAAACGAATTGCAAGAATTGGCACTTCCCGCTAGCAGAGAAATTTAAGAAGACCATAATGTAAGCTATTTATGTCTATAATATAAGCTATTTAAAACATAGACTTAATTTCTTTAAATAGAGAAAAAATTAATTTTCCATAGAAATTAAATATTTTTAAAATATGTGCATCTCATCGAAACAAAGAAATTTTTAAAAAATTTGTTGACTGGTCAGTATATTCGGATATTTATGCCAATGAATGTAATCATGGACAACGTGCCGTGTCTTGACACCTGTGCGTCGTCTAAGCATTTCTATCGCACATTTGATTCAAAAGTCGATTACTTGAGAGATTATTTTCGAGGCATACATATTTGAATCGCATGTGCACCATCAGCAAGGTTTCGTTTTCAGATTCACTAGCAAGGCAAGATATTTCCTCTCTCAACTAAAGCACCAAAATCGAGAACAACAACAGCGAACCCAAATTACGAAAGCGGATGATAGAGAAGCGCGCGACGGCTTCATTAACAGCAATTTATCACGGAGCCGGGGTGAGCGGGGGTCAACAGCAAGCACCACCATTAACCGCCTAAGGTCGTTAGGTTGCGGTTTGACATGAGAACATGCCCATAACACCGTTCGGTTATACGTGTACCCGTCTGTGCCTGCACGGTAAAGCATAGAGAACCTACGCTTGCGGTGGTGCAAACGCAAGAGGAAGAGGAGGAGGGGGAAAGCGCGACCAGGAGAGAAGGGTTGGCGGAAAGCACGGTGGCAAACGAACGTTAGAGCAAGGGAATACTTGCCGCTACGTCACGAGCTAACCATTAGCGGTCGTACCGGGTCTGTGTTTAGACGCTCCGTTATTGAATTGGTTACCTACCTACGTTCGCCTGTCCTAGATATCGCACCCGATGTTACACGCTCCGTCGCTAGCATTAAAACTGACGAGGGTTGTGCGAGAACGCGTCGCAGGCCGCGGAGCATTAGGTCGATACGAAAGAGTCTGTCGTCCCTTTCGGCATTGCTTTAAGTTACTAATATTAACTTGCAGACTGCAAGCAAAAAATATATACTAAGTTTTGTATATATTTTCTCTTAAAAGATTATAATTTACTTATCACAAAATTTATTATGACCTTATGATTAATAATTCATCAAAAGCAGCTCTTAGATATACAATATTTAAGAAATTATTTTAGTTATCTGTTAGAATAGCTTCAGAGATGCAACTAAAAAAAAAAAAAAAATAAAAAAGTGAAAACGTAGTAATGTTATGCAAAGTAAAAATATATACATAGGGAAGAGTTCATCTGTCATTTAAAAATATAGAACCGAAGAAGTTAAGCGAAAATTCTCTGTACTTAAAGGCATTATCGATAAGTAGTGCGGATTATAAGCATGCTTAGGTATTCTAGAACGGCATCTGCGATATTGCGCTAAAGGTCGAGTAATACTCGGAATTCTAAGCCTGAGCCAATGCAATATATTTGAAATCTTATATCAAAAACACAATAATAGAATGTTTAAAGTGGACTTGTCTTCGCAATTTAATTAAGCAATCCAATATCTGATAGTAAAGGTAAATTTATATGTAATGTATTAATATCTCTAAGATTAACAGAACTGTGCATTTTTTAAATAATAATTATTCATTTCAGGTTTATTATTTATTAAAATCTCTCTTTTATATCAATACTGTAATTATTAATATATTATACATTTTTATATGTACAAAAACAGCAGTTATATATATATATACAGTACACCACAGTAAAAATTCTCTCTCTCACGTAAACGTTTTTAATGAAAACTTAAATTAAAAAATGAGAATCGATATATGTTTACATAAACGCAAGCTTTTTAGCAAATTGATTTTTCAACCAGCCTTTCTATAGGATTTTATAAACTTGATAGCTGAATCGAAAATATTGTATAATGTGTCCGAATCCTTAACGAATATCGAGCAGATATCGGTGATGCTCAAATGGACTATGGAACCAACTGAGATCGCTTCAAAGCAGCGGCTAATCTCACTCAAAGGTAAATCGAGGATTGAGTAATGACATAGATATGATGTATTAAAGACAAGTTGTTCGATTATTTCCTGTTATTTCTGTGTGTGATAGTTTCACGTATAATTTAATATTTTATAATTCTGATAGAGTAGCAGAAATTTGAAATTTTCAGTAATTTCGCGGATTTTCATTAAAATATCAAAATTTATTCTGCAATCTAGAAAATAGAAATACAAAGAAAAATTCGCAAGTATTTAAAAATAAAAAATAAAAACTATTGCTATGTGATAATGACAAGAATATTTAAATAAAATTAATATGTGTGTTTAGTGTTATTTGTTATAATATTAACATTTGTTAAGATTTAATATTATTTCAATAAATGTAATTACCAAATGGAGGTTCAATGTCGAAATAAGCAAGGAAACATTTAATTACACTAATGGGCAAATAAAAATTGCTACGACCGCAAACAATTTCTTTATAAATACAACATGAAAAAGCTATTTTGATATTACTTGTTTAAGCACAATTGTTTAAACCTGTTTAAATACGCAATTTTTACAGTCTAGACAATAATAATTTGCAAGTTTTCAAAGGTGTATAACATAGCAAGCAATTTCTGGTAGCTGAAAAATGTATATGCGTCGCACAGCTGACACATATACATTTTTTAATACCCTTCAGAAAATTTTAAAAATGACAAGTACGCGTATATCGTGTCTCATTTTAAGTAATAACTTCAGGAATATAGATAACGATAACTTTTCGGAAATCCGCAGCCTCCAACTTTAGTCTTGTTCTCTTTGCTTCGCTGCAAACGAGCTTCTTTTAATTAAAATAATCCGCCCTGCGTTCGCTTGCACAAGATTTAATCGGTGATCGAGTGAGCGCAGTCTCGCGCACGTGTAATTTAAGTTGCATCGTATCGGCTGGCTAAAGCCGCCTTTGCATCGGTCTAATCCACGCGAAATCGGTGGGATTGTGAGCTTACGTGAGTATGAAAGCGAATAAAGAAGAAGAAAAAAAAGAAAGAGAGAGAGAGAGAGAGAGAAAAGAAACAAATCGAAAACGACTTTCGCAAATATATTATTATATCCGTGTCGATTTTCAGTATAATGTGAATGCTGCACGATTCGAATCGTGTTATGTGTGTTTATAGTATCCTCTTAATGTATCACAAGATATTGTGATTTGTGTGTCGGCATACAAAATATTCCTTTACCTCTTTTCAATCTTCATTATTAAATATTTTTATAATTGATTTTTCCATTAAAATTTTTTTTAAATAAAATCTATTCACAAAATTATATGAGGAACAACACATTTAATTGCGCTTTAGTTTACTTCATATTCAATTCATATCATATTCAAATTGCCTTGAAATTAATTAAAGAATATTAAGAAATTACAGTGCAATGATTGCAAAAGTAAGAAAAGCTTCTTTAATATTAACTATTCTGAAAACCGTCTCTTTAATGCGAATGTGCAATTGAAAAAGAAACAACACTCGATACTAACTATCTCTCGAGCGAGCAAATTGTACTTGTAAACGCGAACATACAGACATAATAAAAGTGTAGCAGGGACGAGAGGCAATTTCAATGATATAGAAGGGTTGACAAGCGGCGACATACCCTACTTCTTTGATTAAAATTTAATTAGCTGCTACTAGGGGTCCGATCGAAGCAGCAGGGAAGATACACAAAGCACAGGTTGTTGTATGTACTTGAAAGGATGGACTTTTCCTTTCCCACAACACCCTTCCAATCTCGACCATTCCACGTCCTTACGCATTCTATAACTGTTAGCTCTATAATTCTTCATCCTGCGAGCTCTTACGCGCGCGTCTAGTTTCCTGCGCTGAGCGAATTATTAATTTCATTAGTTTTCTCTCGGTTTCTCTCCGCGCGGAATTTCTCGCTCCTGTTAGATTGCGACTCGCACACCAAGTTGATGCGGACTTTTAAAGTCCGTAATAAGTAGGTACCACGCGAGAAACGAAACAAGCCCCGCCTATTAGGAAAAATTACGACATTCAACACTTTCTTGGCTAATGAAGACACTCTAATGTAGTAATCGAAATGTTTTGCAGAATTTGGCTTCGCCAAGAAATCGCGACAAATTCGAAACTTTAGCATCTTGTTAAAAAAAAATAGAAAATTAAAAAATAAGTTTTCGTAAAATGTCTAATATTTATGTTTTAAAATTCACGTTTACGTTTCTCAACATTTTCTCAACATTCTCAACGAAAAAATTAAATTTAATGTGGAACAAGAGGAGCTATGAATCATTCGTAAAAATCGCAATTTGTTACGCGAAATAAAAGATACAATTAAAAATTACGCGAAAAGTATATAATTTTTTTTCTCGTGTTTCCTTTTTCTCAACTTTTGCAAAATTTGCTTTATAGTGCATCGATAATACGTAGAAACTTTCGGTGCAAGTTTGCTTTCTCTACTTTGTTCTTTACGAAATGTAGCTCTTTAAGTGATTACTGTATGCATATTTTATGCGATAAGGGCGAACCGCGAGCACCTCCATCAGTGATCAAAGAAAGAAGCTGGAACTGATGATAAATTACCCCTGCTCGCAATATTACAAGTTCGCAAACTGCTTAAATTACGTTTCCTTAATTTATGCAGACGGACTGATATTGGCGGAAACTGCGTTAATACTCGGTGCTTATAAAATTGTAGCGATGGTTGACGATGGTTCAAGTTTTATAGCGAACGCTGTTTGATGCGATGGAAAAGAGAAGGTCGGGTAAGTTTTCCAAAGTGACTGCGATGCGCATTGAAGAAAAGAAGGGAAACAGAAGTAGATAGAGAAAAAGAAGAGGGAAGTCGACGATACGAGAAAAAGTGACGGAACAAAGTGAATATTGGCTATCTCTGAGTTTCGACGTCATTAAAACTTTTAGATTGCATAAGAATGGCTTCCCACTCTTCGCAGGCTCTTCCGCGTACGT